CACATTAACAGTTCACTGTCTTGTCTTCTGGTTATTCCCTAAAAAAATTGAAATCGGGCCAGGCATAGTGGCTCATGCCTGTGATCCCAGCACTTTGGGAGGCCGAGGCGGGCAGATCACGAGATCAGGAGATCAAGACCATCCTGGCTAACACAGTGAAACCCCGTCTCTACTAAAAATACAAAACATTAGCTGGGCGTGTTGGCCGGCATCTGTAGTCCCAGCTACTCGGGAGGCTGAGGCAGGAGAATGGCGTGAACCCGGGAGGCGGAGCTTGCAGTGAGCCGAGATCATGCCACTGTACTCCAGCCTGGGCAACAGAGCAAGATTCCGTCTCAAAAAAAAAAAAAAAAAAAAAAAAAAAAAGCTTTCTTACAATACATAGTATTGTAAAGATCTGTCATAGGCCATTCAATGCAAACAGTTTTGTTGGCTATTTAAATCATGTTGCAGTACCTTTGTTTTTTTTAATTTAAATTTTATGTGTTTTAAGAAGTATGCACATGGCACAAAATTCAAAGGGAATAAAAAGGTTTGTAGAGCAGGATTCCTCAACCCCAGACAGGGCAGGATTGGTGGAATGGTTGAAGAATGGAACTGTTCCACCTCAGATCATCAGGCGTTAGAGTTTCATAAGGAGCCAGCAGCCTCGATCCCTCGCATGTGCAGTTCACAATAGGGTTCACAGTCCTATGAGGATCCAATGCCATCACTGATCTGATCTACGAAACTGGTTCCTGGTGCCAAAAGGTTGGAGACTGCAGGTTTAGAGAATCTTTGAAGCAAACAGTGTTACTAGTATGTTGTTGTTGTTGTTGTTTTCCCCAGGCTTTTTCTTTTTCATAAATAAGCAAATATATATACATATATGTACACTTGTTCTTTTTCCGCAGAAATGGTCACTGTCAGTGTACACTATCTGGTGATGGGACATTAAAAACACAGACTTTGCTCATGCCTGTATTCCCAGCACTCCCTTTTGGGAGGTTGAGGTGGGGTGGATCATGAGGTCAGGAGATCGAGACCAGCCTGGCCAACACGGTGAAACCCCGTCTCTACTAAAAATACAAAAATTAGCTGGGCATGGTGTCACACGCCTGTAGTCCCAGCTACTGGGGAGGCTGAGGCAGGATAATCACTTGAACCCGGGAGGCGGAGGTTGCAGTCAGCCAGGATCGCGCCACTGCACTCCAGCTTAGGCAACAGAGCTAGACTCCATCTCAAAAAAACAAAACAAAACAAAACACAGACTTTACCAACTTTACCACTACTCAATAGAACCATGTAATACAACTGCACTTGTGCCCACTAAATTTGTACAAATAAAAAAATGCATAAGACATAAAAGTAGTGCATAAGAGATTGTAAAATGAACATCTGTGTGACCCCCAACCACAAAAAGAAATATAAGTTTGCCAACATCTCTACATCTTTTAGCCATTCACAGCTCCTTGCCATGCCTTTTGTGGTAGCCACTGTCCTCACCATTATAGCATTGACTTTGATTCTCTTTATAGTTTTATAACCTAATTATGTATTCATAAACAGTGTAGTAAAATTGTGCTTGTTTTTGGATCTTTTCCCTGAACGCTTTTAGATACCTGAAATCTTGTAGCCCCAGGAGCAGTCTTGAAGAAGAGGAGTCAGCAGGGTCTGTGGGAGGTGAATGGGCAAGGAATTCTACACAGGTTGGCCTAGTGAAGTTTGGGGACTTTGATCTCACCATTATTAGGTGGACTTGAGATCTTTTCTTGTACCAGGTGATGGAGCCATATCTTCACAGTTGCCAGGGCTCCGGAACTAGCTCTGAGTCTACTTCTTTGAAGTCCTGCTTCTGCAGCACATGTTTGCCATGATCAGGGATGGTCCTGCCTGGAGTTCTCTTTATGCCCATTCTCTTTCTACTTTGGTTCTAGGGGGCATTTCTGGTTTTGTTTGTGTGTAAGAGCCCCTGTGGATTGCAAAAAACAAAATCTAAAAAGTAAAGTCATGGTTTCTTTTTTCTTTTCTAATTTGTAAAATCTATGGGGTTTAATCTTAGGCTTTATTTGTAGATGCTTGTTCCTCTATCCCATTTAGGCACTTAGAAAGTTTGAACAAATCAAGGGCTTTCCTGTTTTCTGCAGAGCACCTTAGATTTTCTATAAACCTAAGTAGAAAGTGGCATTGTGGTAGAGATTGTGCCTGATTTGTAAAGAATGTTAAAAAGATCATAGGAATAATTTCTAATTGAATTTCATCGTTCAGATACTTTCAAACTCCTGTGATGCTACTTACATCACAACCTATTACACATACACATATGTGTAAAACAGACTAAAGTTTCATAAACAGCATCCTTAGTATATACAGTTGTTCCAATGTAGTTTATTCTGTTGTATTTTTATTTTTTAAAAAATGTTGATTAGGGATCCATTAAATTAACTATAAGGTCCTTCAAGAGATCAGTGCCTATAGTTGAAGGTGCCATGATTTTCTAGAGGAAGAGATTGACTGCAAGGAATTAAACTGAACAGAGGCAAACTAGTGTCATGGTGTGGCTGAGTGTGGAACCTTTAGGTTCTGTGCAGTGGCATCCGCCTGTAATCCCAGCGTTTGTGAGACCAAAGTAGGAGGATCACTTGAGGCCAGGAGTTTGAAACCAACCTGGGTAACATAGTGAGATCCTATTTCTTCAAAAAAAAAAAAAAAAAAGAGAGAGAGAGAGAGCATGGACTTTGGAGAAGGACAGACTTGGGCTCAAATCCTGGTTTTGCCACTTGCTGGTCATATGATCAGGGCAGTCTGTTTGGCATTCTTGGGTCTCAGTGTCATTTGACTAGGGCAATCTAGTTGGCATTCTTGGATCCTAGCCTTCTGTAAAATTAAAATGGCATCTTAATCCATTTTGTGTTGCTATAACAATGTCACAGGCACAGACTGGGTAATTTATAAAAGAAAAGAAATTTATCACAGTCTGGAAGCCAGGAAATCCAATATCAAGGTGCTAGTATCTGGCAAGGGCCTTCTTGCCACAGCTTCCCATGGCAGAAAGTGGAAGAGCAAGAGAGGGACAGCGAGTGTGACTGAGAGAGCTAGACTCATTCCCCCGCACCCCCCCCCCGCCAGAGATGGGCATCTCACTATGTTGTCCAGGCTGGCTTTCAACTCCTGGTCACAAGCAATCCTCCCACCTCAGCCTCCTGAGTGACCGGGACTATAGATACTGCACCCCTAGCAGGACTCATTTTTATAACAGCCCACTCTCGTGATATAATAATAAGTCCACTCCTGTGATAATGGCATTCCTCTATTCATGAGGCCAGAACCCTTGCGGCTTAATCACCCTTTAATGTCCCATCTCTTAATATAGTCATAATGATAGTTCAGTTTCAACATGAATTTTGGAGGGAATATTCAAACCATAGCAAATAGGAATGACACTCCGTGCCTCAGGGATCTGAGGATTAAATGAAAGAATATCTAGTGTAAAGTAAGCATGCAACACACAGCAGCTTTGTTAACCATTGTTATTTGTTTCAGGATTTAATGGAGTTTCTCTGATTTCTAGCCCAATGCCCTTTGTACAAATTGCAGAATCCATTATGACAAGAGTTATGGGACAGTGTTAAGTAACAGACTAGGTGGATGGGAATTGCTTGGTTGATCCACTCACCCTTTGGGATCTGTTTAGGTGACTGCTGGACTGTGTGTCCATAAACTCTGCTGGTTTATTACAGGAGTGAGAATTGTCTAAAAGTGTCAGGCAGTGACAATGTCTTCAGTGGCAGAAGAGTTGGTCTTTCTGTCCTTGTTCATGGGCAGGAAGTTAAAACTAAGGGGTGTGTTTGTGTGTAAGATTAGCTCAGGGGAAGGAAGGCTAGAGGAGTCTTCACTTCTCCTCCCATAATCTTACATTTAATATCTATTCTCTTCCTTTCCCTTTCTTTTTTCCTCACCCCCTCTCTTTCTCTTTTAAAGAATGACGAGCTTTTGCCCAGGCTTGGTGGCTCATGACTGTAATCTCAGCACTTTGGGAGGCTGAGGTGGGAGAATTGTTTGAGGCCAGGAGTTCAAGACCAGCCTGGTCAATATAATGAGACCCCATCTCTACAAATATAAGAAATTAGCCAGGAGTGGTGGTGCACACCTGTGGTCCCAGCTACTTGGGAGGCTGAGGCAGGAGGATCCTTTGAGGCCAGGAGTTCCAGGTTACAGTGAGCCGTGATCATGCCACTACACTCCAGTTTGGGCAACAAACCCTGTCTCTTAAAAATAAACTTTTAATATAAAATTAAATTTATATAAAATCCAATCATTAAGATAAAAACATTTACTAACATTTCACCTTTTTTCTTCGAGTCTTTTCTCATGCACTAAAAAAAAGATGGCAGTAATACTGTACATTCAAACGCTCTTTTAATAAAATAAAAAACTGAACTGGTTAGATAGTTATAAATCAGTAAGATGGTAGAGGAAGGGAAAAGAGAGGGACACTTTGCTGAAAGGCAGAGATAGTGATCTCTTACTGTCTCTGAGACTGAAGGGTGGTCCTCAATTTAATCTTTCCTTCCAGGTATTCTGGAGCAGGGAAGAATCTGACTTTAAAATTGTTCCCTACCTTCTACTGTTACCCCGTTATTTGACATGCCCTCCTGAGTTCAGAAGAATAGGTCTCAAGGGTTTTATGCTGCCGATATTAATATCCCATTAGATTGCTGGTAGAGCTGCTATCTTGTGTGTGTGTGTGTGTGTGTGTGTGTGTGTGTGTGTGTGCAGTGCGAAAGCTGAATTGTTTCTAAATTCTACTAAACATGTATGTACCAGTCAGTGCTTTTCAACTGCCTGAGGTTCCTCAACCCGTGAACCTACCCAGTCCTTTAGGAAAGCCTAGGTGTGATGCAGGAAGTAACCTGCCATCTGCCATAGTACCTGAATCAGGCATGTGCTCTGGAAATGTTGACCTGGCATGAGGCCAGTCTGTCTTCTCTTTTCTTCACAGATTTTTTTTCTCTTCACAGATTTCGAAGCCAGCTTCATAAGGCTGTTGGATAAAATAACAAATGGTTCTCGAATTGAAATAAACCAAACAGGTAAGCTCCTTTTAGATTCCTAAAAGCACCTCCGTGCACTAAAGCATTCCTGTTTCTCCCTCTTTTTTTCTTTTCTTTTTTTTTTTTTCCAGTCAGTCTCTGCTTATCCATCTCACTCTTTTTAATGGTATAAATATTATGTTTAAAACTTCACTAATCACTTTGTATTATATAAATCACCATTAAATTAGAATTTTGGTGGGACTTATATGAGGAACTCACCGTATAACTTTGGAGTTATATGAGGAAGCTGTGAATGTAGATCATAATAAAAGCATATCATTCTAGATCATTAAAAAAAATACCGTGTTCCTATGGAAAGACCCAGTTACCTCTCTATGATATGATTTTCCAAAGATGTACATGAGTCTCCCAATTTGAAGGGCATACATTTGATTTAAGGAAGTTAGAAGACAGAAAATTTCAGATCCATAAGCAAGTCCCTCCTCTTTTTTTAGCAATAAATATTTTATACATAATGTTTACATGAAACTTTCTGAAGTCCATTTATTATATTATCACATTAAATTATTTCAACCAACTCTATGAGGTAGTTTATGGGCTGAATTCTATTTATTTTAAAATTTTGTTTGTTAAAATAAGTTCACACGAGTATATGCAAAAGATGTGAAAATACCTTCACTTCTTTCCTCTTCCATTCCGCTCTCCAGGGGTAGCCACTGTCACAGCATTTGCTTACATGGACATTTGCATAATGCAGATCATCAACAGCATCATTCTCTTCATATTGTTCTTCAGCCAGCTTTTTTTTTTTTTTTTTGCTAGTACAAATGTCTCAGAGAACTTGCCCTGCCAGCACATGCAGGTTTTCCTCAATATTTCTGTATAGTATTCCATTGTATGGATGCATGATAATTTATTTAACTACTCCCCACTGATAAACATTTAGGTTGTTTCTAGCTTTTAGTTTTTCTATTAGAAACTTGTGTCTACACTGTATGGAAAACCGTGGCAAACATCCTTTGGCTGACTCTATTAACTCTGTACCTTTCCACACACATTCCACAAATCTCTGATCTTTTCCCTATCTTGGCTCTCTTAAGGCAAGCTCAGGTTCATATTTGGTCCTGGACCACGTGAGATATTCTGATCTATAGCTGCATTCAGCCATATCTTATAGAGAACAGGTTTTGGGAATGAGATGCTCACATGTCTTTTGCCAGCTATGAGTCCCTTAATTTCCTCTAGCTTGTTTGCTTTGAAATTGCTGGAGGCTTTTTCAGTAACTTTTTTGGTGATCTGGAAGACAGATATTTCTATTCTTTTTTTGTGTGTGTGTGAGGTGGAGTCTTGCTCTGTCACCTAGGCTAGAGTGCAGTGGTGCGATCTTGGCACACTGCAACTTCTGCCTCCCAGGTTCTAGCAATTCTCCTGCCTCAGCCTCCCTAGTAGCTGGAATTACAGGTGCCTGCCACCATGCCTGGCTAATTTTTTTTTGGTGTGTGTGTATTTTTTAGTAGAGACAGGGTTTCACCGCTTTGGTCAGGCTGGTCTCAAACCCCTGATGTCAGGTGATCCATCCACCTCAGCCTTCCAAAGTGCTGGGATTACAGGCATGAGCCACAGCACCCGGCCCAATTCTCTTCCTTTCTAGTCATATCTGCAATGTAGATTGAGGAGTAAGACATTTACGTGATTCTGCTCCCACTACATGTCCTTTTAATTTTCCCCATCAGAGTAGTAAAAGCCTTCATTTTGATAATCTGGCCAGTTTCTCATTTGGTTAATTTGTATAAATAAACATACAGATTTGAAGGATTTAGTGAATATATAGTCTTTTTTTTTTGGTTTTTTGATCTAAAGAATGGTTTTGTGACCCTTACAACTATTTCAAATAACGGACCCAGAATCCATTTGAGAAGTGTTCATTACTTTGATAAGAATATGGTCCTGTTTGTGATTGTTTGGATTATAGTAAAGCCTAAATTTATTTTATGAAAGTCCCAAGAACTTTTTCCCATTTGAGTGACTGAACATGCCTCCTTCCTCTAATGTTAAATATATTTTTGGTAAATTGTGCCAGAGGGCATTGCAAAATATTTTGTGCAGCAGAAATACCCTGTTCCACCATTTATGTCCTCCTAGATCATTTACAGTTTTTTACATTGATATGTAAATCTGGTAAGAAGCTTTTTAGATAGCCAGGCATGGTGGTTGATGCCTGTAATCCCAGCACTTTGGGAAGCTGAGATGGGCGTAAGAAGCTTTTTGGATAGCCAGGCACGGTGATTCATGTGTGTAATCTCAGCACTTTGGGAAGCTGAGCCTAGGAGTTCAAGACTAGCCTGGGCAACATAGTGAGACCCTTTCTCAAAAAAAAAAAAAAAAAGATTAGCTGAGCGTGGTGGCATGTGCCTAGGGTCCCAGCACTTTGGGAGGCTGAGGTGGGAGGATCACTTGAGCCCAAGAGTTCAAGACCATCCTGGGCAACGTAGTGAGACCCTTTCTCTTAAAAAAAAAAAAAAGAAAGAAAGAAAAGAAAAAAGAATTAGCTGGGCATGGTCCCAGCTACTCTGGAGGCTGAGGTGGGAGGATTGCTTGGGCTCTGGAAGTCGAGCTGCAGCAAGCTGTGATCATGCCACTGCACTCCAGCTTAGGGGATAGAGCAAGACCCTGTCTCAAAACAAAGCTTTTTGAATGATATGATTTTGTGAAAAGTGAATAAAGATAGTAGTTTCCACTAAAGCCATAACATATTAGGCATTTCCATGTATCAATATTAAATTAAATGAGCTACTATTAATGGCGTTGAATGCCATAGAGTACTTGCCTTTTCTTGGCATCATGTTTGGTGAATGAAGTGTATGAGAAATCTCATTTCAGCAGCCCTGGAGGGTGCTGGTTGCTGGTGTGATGATTTAAGCACATCATTTGTAATTCCCCTCTGTGGTCAGCCTAGTGTGCTGTTGGGAGACTAGGGTGCTTATTAGGATCACTCTTCTATGCCCTGCCATGACTTTGGCAACTCAGATGGCTTAGGGAGGGGCTTAATTTATTACTGATTATTAAATTACATTCACAGTTTATTATTGTTACAGGGGCTTGACAGTAGTGAGTCAGCTTTTGGAGTGAAGTGTGGGCTCTTAGCAATGGCATTTCAGGCACTCTTGGATGCCCTTGTCAGACTTTCCCCTTGGAACTCACTGCCTTCATTACCTTTGTGACATTTTAGTTTTTTTCGTGCTGAATGTGGCTCTTTTTCTTCTGGTTTAAGGAACAACCTTATATTATCAGCCTGGCCTCCTGTATGGTGGATCTGTGGAACATGACTGTAGCGTCCTTCGTGGCATTGGCTATTACCTGGAGAGTCTTCTTTGCTTGGCTCCATTTATGAAGCACCCGTTAAAAATAGTTCTACGAGGAGTGACCAATGATCAGGTTGACCCTTCAGTGAGTATTGAGAACAAACCGTGGTGTGGTTTTTGTTTTGTCTCTTGTCACAACCCGACTTGTGAGACAAAAGTTCCTCATAAAGCAGTTTTATTTCAAATGTATATTCCTTTTGTTATTTACCTTGAGATTTAGAGGTTAATCACTCCAGGATGCAGATGAACCAAAACTTAGGGTCATCAAATTCAGGACTGTTGTTAACAGTTACCAAGGCACCTTTTGTTTTTATCTAAGAACCTTCAAAACAGTTGCTCGCAGTCATAGTTGACATGAACTATAGTTCTGTTGGCTGTAGTATGTCAGAGTGGAGTTTTTGTAAGGTCCTGTGGTAGCTGAGGCTAGAGGGCAGCCTATCAAATTTTGGGCAGGGGATCATAGTTCCTTGGCATTGCTACAGCCTGATCTTGACTTACCCAGGCTTCAATCATAAACTCAAGGGCTTTTGTTTTCTGAGAAGAGTTTGCAGATAGAAAAAGGGCATAAAGTCAGGAAAGGAATGTGTGAGATTTGGTAGTTTGTGGGTGTCAGCAAGCTTTTCATTTTTATTTTATTTTTTTCACCAAGAGCCATGCCAGAGCAAGCTTTTTATTAAACATGCTAATTTTTCTGCAGATATGGAGAGAATGGTTTAATATCAAGCAAAACTTTTTATTATGATCACAACTGTCTTCGTGCCATTCTAGGATGGTGTGTGTGTGTGTGTGTGTATATATGTCAGAGAGATACAGAGAGATTAGAGAAGTCTAGAGAAGTCCTGTCCAGGCCTTCCTCTCTTGTAGGGAGGGGTGGATTCCCTGCTTTTGGATGCTCTGCTGTCAGAGAAGATACCTTAAAACTGATGGCCATGATGCAAAGTCCAGACAGAGGTAGTATGCTTGTCTTTACCATTACAGGCCAAGACCAATGAATGGGTAGCTTCTGAGGCAGAATGTGAATTATGTAGCTTTTCTACTCAGGGAGGACCAATGAGGTGATGCTGTGAGCCCCAAAGTAGGGACTGCTGGTATTCACCAAGATACCTACTAGGGTATAAACGTTGTTAATATGTTCTTAGGCAATAAAAACTTATTCTTCAATTCTTGGAAATTTAGCTGCATAAACTCTTTTTCCTGGGATACTGAGTATAGTACAAAATCTGGAATTCTTAAGCTGTAAAGGAATGTTGCGTAAACTCTTTAGAATATTTAATTGTTTTTTTTTTTTTTTTGCATTTTCTAGAAGACTATAGGAAATAAGTTCTTTGCATAAAAGAATGAGAAGAGGTATAAATACCTTTAGGTTGGAAGAGGGGAAGGTGCCTCAAACAGTGGGAAAAGGCCCTGAAGTATACAGCAGTGTGTGTATCAGTTTTGTACTTTTTTTCTACACTTGCTAATTATCTTAAAAGCTTTTCTCACTGGCAATATTTAAAAAATTTTATATGCTAACATTGACAAAAGATCAGTTGATGAATTTCTCAGAAGTGGTACCCAAAAATCTGTTTTCTTATGCTGTAGGAGTATCTGCTTTTGCCAGCTGCATGACTAAAATGACCTTGGTTGGTATCTGACTCCAGGCCAGAGTAAAGTAAATATACCTAATCCTGAATAAAGAGTGACTTTTTCAGCTCATTCCATGGCTCCTTCATTTCTAGCTTCTTCTTTTCTGTGTGGTTTCCTCATTAGTTCATGTCTGCATCTACTCTGCATACAAGGATGAAATGAATGATTCAGTCCTTAACAAACTCCTAGTCTCTTGGGGTGGACAGCTGGGAACTCATTTAGGGAGATTACAAGGATGAATACCCTTGGGCTCTGATAGAGGTAGAAGCAAAGTGCTTAGTGTCAGAAAGGGTTTCTTGAGGAGGGAAAATCAGAGTCAGCCTGGGTTTTAGGAAGATAATTCTGGAGATTGAGTGAAAGATGAATGGAGAGGTGATAGACTAGCTTGGGCATTATGGAGATGGAAGGAGAAAGGAAGGAGCAGATAGGACAACTAATTGGAGGTGGAATGAGAGGAAGGGGCCATAGATGACTTCACAATTTCTGTCCTGGTTGCCATAAAGGATCATGATCATAAAGATCATTCCCATTTGACAAAGGGAAGAGGAAAATTGCAGTAGGATAATGGGTGATGCTTTTTATTGTGGTCCTGTTCCCTGGGATGTTGGCAGCCTGACCATATAAGGATTTCCAGTTGGCAGTTAGAAATTATTGTCTGGAGCCTCGGAGACAGGTCATCAGAATCTTACCTGCTGATACTTAAGCCTCTAGGAATATGAGATTGATTAGGCTGAGGCTGAACACTGGTGTGGGTTTGGCTGAATTCATCTTTCACGTGTTTTTCCTTTGACATGTACAGTGTGGCAGTGGTGGCGGTGGTGGTGGTGGTTGTTGGTGGTGTGTGTATGTATCTGAATTGATTGTTCATGTTTGAAACTCCAGATTTTACATTATAATAGGGCAGTGTGACAATACTGAATGGTGGTTCCTCCATGACAGCCATCAGTTGGAGGTGAGTAGCAGCTGCCTTTTTTGGATAAAGTGTGAGCTTTCAGCTGGACACAGGTCACAGCCGACCTCATCATTCATTTAAGCTTCCTCTCTGCCCTCTATGGGCATTAGAGTTTCTGCCCCATGGTCCAAGGGACTGAGAATGGAAGAAGGAGAAATGAATGTTTAAGGTGTGAGTGGGAGAAGAGGAGCTAGAGATGGAGTGACTGTGAAGATAGAAGTATTTGGAGAAGCCAAGCAGGAATCAAGTTCTAAGAAGTCAGGGATAATCCACAGAATCACTCTTTGCCGGAGTTGAGTCAGATTCAGCAGTGAGACATTTTTATTGACCTTTGAGAGAACAATATCATTGGAGTATAAGGACAGGAACAGACTGAGGAACGAGTAGGAACTAGAGCTATTGGAAAGTTAGGAGATTCTTCCAGAAGTTCTTAAGAGCTGAGGTTGGGAGTTTTTTTAGGCTAGGGGAAGTTTGAACTTGCTTGTAGGCTGAGGAGAAGCTGTAATGGAAAAGAAAAGAATTCAAAGAGCGGAGAGTCCTTGCCGAAGTCCAGAGGGGATAAGGATTGAAAACAGAGGTGATGGAATGAGCCTTATGAAGAGGAAGAAGACATTTTTTCCTTAGAGGCAAGAGAATAGAAAGTGGGGAGAAATTTTAAAGAGAAGAAAAGTTTTAGGAGGTCTCCTGACTCTTAGTGGTGTGGCACCAGAGCTCCCGGTAATTATTTATTGGTGCCAACAAGCTGCTCCAATGGTGGGTGAAGATTCCATTCTTTTCCAGTTCCCTCTTAGAGAAGAAAAAGAAGTACAATAATGTCTACCGTGTACTGGGCATTATTCTAGGTGTACATATGTATGTATGTGTATATCCATATTTCTTTAATTCTTCTACCAACCCAGTGAGGCGGGTGTTTCAGACAAGGTAACTGGAGAGCAGTTTTCTCCCCCGCCCTCCCCCCTTTTTTTAAGCATAGATTGATTACATTTTTACCTTTTGATTGATTGACTGCACTGTAATATTAATGCCTTTGCCATGAGCTGCCACTTAGGTGAGATCTTTGCCTTTTCTCTCTGACCTCAGAGTGGACCAATCAGTTTCCCTTAAGCAGAACTTGCAGGCCACCATCACTCTGCTAAAACTAGAATGTGCAAAGCTGCAGGAGACTGTAGAGTGTTCAGTCCCGCCTCTCATTTTACACAGGAGGAAACTGAGGCCCAGGAGACAGGGAAGTGTCTAGGGTCTCACAGCCAGTGAGAGGCAGAGTAGGTCCCAAGCCCTTATCTGCTTTTCCTGCTCTTGTCCCACTGCACCAAGTTGCTTGTCCTCCATGTCAGATGGAGAGTGATAAGGGGACAGGACTACACCTGGAGTTACCCTTGGGCTTCTGGCTGAACTAAGTAAATTTGGCTTCACCTTTTGTGACTCAAGGTATAGGAAGGATGAGCCAGAAGAAAGGCTGTGTTTTTTCACCTTTTTTTCTCCTCAGGAGAGCCGGTGGCTGGCCAGAGTAACTGCAGCATTGCATCTCCTGCTTTTTCAGAATCTGACTTGGCCTTCTCCCCAGCTGCCCTTAAGCCTCAGCTGTATTCTTCTTTATCTGGCAATGTTAAATGCATATATTAAGTTTTTGAGTGTGCTTAGCTTTATTTTTTTATTTTTAGAGACAGGGTCTCACTGTGTCTCCCAGGCTGGAGTGCAGTGGCATGATCATAGCTCACTGAAGTCTTAAAGTCCTGGGCTCAAGTGATCCTCCCACCAGCCTCTCAAGTAGCTAGGGCCACAGGTGTGCACCACGCCCAGCTAATTTTTTTAGTAGAGATGAGGTCTCACTATGTTGCTCAGGCTGTAGCTTTAATATTTAAAATTAGCTAATCTTTAATGGTTTTCCTAGTTTCCCTTGCCCCACCTGATTCATTCTAAGCATGTTCTTAGGCCTCACAGGTCATTCCTACGTCTGGTAATTTTCTGATATCACAATATTTAGTTGTGGCTTCTTAGCCTGTTAGAGTTGGTTGCAACTTGGAGATAGCTGGGCTTGAGCCCCTTGCCTTAGAGATAAGGAAATTCAGATAGTTGTGATTTTCTTGTCTGAGGCAACATAGCTAATTAGAAGCAGAGCAGGAACCAGGACTAGGGCTTTTCCTATGCCTTCTGTGTGGTGCCCACCCTCACACGTCCAGCTGACAGGTCCAAGAAGGGAACAAGTAATGGAGTAATTTTCTTTCCCATGTAGCAGTTGAGGCAGCATTTGCCGACTCGTTAGATAACTACATGATTTGATTGTCATCTTTATACCCTTATCAGGAATCTGCAAATGGATCAGAAAGACCCCAGACTTCCTAGGAGCTCTGAATGCAGGAGGAGATAACAGTAACACGTGGCAAAGTTTTGCCATTAACTGTGGATGTTGTAATTGTAGTTTTGAGTTTGTGCTGCTTCCTGTAGTTTGAGGCTATCATCACCCCCACTCCCGAACTCCCATGTAAAACCATCACCTTCCCTTTAGCTGCCTGTGTGGTGCTCATCATTGGCATTCTTAGGTGAGCTGCTGAATAGTTCATTTGGTTTGCTTTGACTCGGAATGCTACCAGCTCTAAACATTAAATAACCATACTGGACAAATGTTAATGAAAATATTATTTTCTTCTGTAGCGTTTATATCTATAAGAAAGAGTAGGGTTCTCCAGGCTGGGCGTGGTGGCTCACACCTGTAATCCCAGCACTTTGGGAGGTTGAGGTGGGTAGATCACAAGGTCAAGAGACCAAGACCATCCTGGCCAACATGGTGAAACCCTGTCTCTACTAAAAATACAAAAATTAGCTGGGTGTGGTGGCATGCACCTGTAGTCCCAGCTACTCGGGAGGCTGAGCAGGAGAATTGCTTGAACCCGGGAGGCAGAGGTTGCAGTGAGCCGAGATCACACTGCTGCATTCCAGCCTGGTGACAGAGAAAAAAAAAAAAAAAAAAAAAAAAAAAAAAAAAATGAGTAGGGGTCTCCATCCATTTGTTTTCTACAACAGTCCAGTCTCTCCATGCATTTTGTATTATGCCTCCGATGCTCATGATGACTGTAAGGTAGGTCTCCATGTCATAAATGAGGGAAGTGCAGCTCAGAGAAGCCCAGTGGCCTGTGAAATCAGTGTTCCTTAGGCAGAGCCAGCCCACTCGCTCAGTTGTATGCCATCATCCTTTCTGTTTACCACACTGCATCATCTACCTGGTTGCTAAGCCTCACTTGTTTTTTTGACTCTTCTATTCTGCCGAAGGTTTAATTAAACTTTTCTTTTCTGAAATAATTTCATAGGTTGATGTTCTTAAGGCGACAGCACTCCCTTTGTTGAAACAATTTGGGATTGATGGTGAATCATTTGAACTGAAGGTAAGAATGTTTGAACTGTTGACCATACGTTCCTGTGGAGAACATTTTCCCACTGACTCATTGGAAGAGCTGTGTGACTCAGTGTATGTGTGTCACATTTGAGGTCACCAGTTATCAGAAGACTCACAGGGCTCATGAAGTAAACGCTACAGACTTGGAACTGCAAGAGACCCTTTAGTAATAACAATTGTAGCTGACAGGCTGACAGTTCTGTTGCACTTACTTTGCGATAGGGGCTGTTCTAAGCAGTTTACAAAGACTAACTCCTTTTCCCCTCGCAACAGCTCTGCCCATGTCCCTCAGCTAGCAAGCAGTGGAGAATAGATTTGGGCCATATTGGCTTTCTGATCTAAATGATCTGGACATAATTTATGTTCAGGGGCTCCCAGCCTGGATGTCCCTGAGAATTTTCAGTATTTCCAAAATCTAGTAGAAGTAGTTTAAGCATCTGTATATTGTTGAATTATATCAGTCCAATGAGGTAAACCATTTAGCATCTCTGCCTTTTACATTCATGTTTTAAACGGGGGAAATGACTTCATTTTTATTTAATAATGTTTTGGCAGATCAGTTATTTGCATGGGAGGAGAAAAAGGGGTTTCTGATTATTAAGAAATGGGCTCCGATGATGGACTAGGTCAGCTCCATATTTTAAGGATAAAGAAGTGACCTGTTCAGGGTTAAAGAGGTGAGTGGCACAGCCACTTGGGTAATGGACTTGGACTTTGACACACGCTGAGCGTGTACTCTCTAGGAGCCAACATAAGGTGCTGTTGGTCTTGAAGGGAATGACAGATTGAATATGGAAGAGCTATGCCTTGTAAGGAAGCATCTGCTGGTGTAAACCTTCCTGGGCAGGGTGTCAGGGTAATCCATTGCTTTGCTGCATCCTCGCCTCATCTTTCTCACTCTCTGTGTAGATTGTGCGACGGGGAATGCCTCCTGGAGGAGGAGGCGAAGTGGTTTTCTCATGTCCTGTAAGGAAGGTCTTGAAGCCCATTCAACTCACAGATCCAGGAAAAATCAAACGTATTAGAGGAATGGCGTATCCTTTCCATTTATTTGGGTTTCCTTTTTTTTTTCTTGCCTCACTAAGATAAGAATGACTAACAGCTTTACTTCTTCCCGATGTTATTTACATTTTAAACTACAACTTTGAAAAGTCTTAACAGTGAAATCATAATTGCTGGCTGAGTTAGGATGTTCTGTTATCTGCCTCACCATGACTAGATTGATTGAGTCATTCTTTTTTTTTTTAAATTTTCCAGTTAACATTTAGTCTCTGATGTATGTGATCCTCTCTCAAGTGCTTTGGTTTGGGGACCATGAATATACTGCAGTTCCTCCCTCAGAAGAGGTCATCATTCGGTGAAGGAGCCAAATATGAAAACACACTGTTCTGATATAACATGCAAAATGATGTGTGCAGTGGGGTGGGGGCCTGGAGTAGACAGTGGTCAATTTTGTCTGGAGGACCTAGGGAGGCGGGAGTAATCATAATGAACAATACCTACTATTAAGTACTTACTCTGCGGTAGTCCCTTTGCATGCTTTTAAGCCTCAGATTGACTCTTGAGTTCACTTACATCCTTTTTTGCAGATGGGGAAACTGAGACTTCAAAAGCTTAAGGAATTTGTTAATAACGTCACACTGCAGAGCTAGGATTTGAACCTTGTCTGTGTGACTCTGAAGTACAGGCATTTAATTTTTACTTTTTCCCATAGAAAGGAGCCTTGAAGAACAGAGGATTGCAAAGTAGAGTGAGAAAGGAGGAGTGCTTCAGGTAGAAAAATGGGCCTGAGCAGAGATGGCAGCGCACAGTGGTTCTAGCGAATGGCAAGTAATGAAGTGTGACTGGATTTCAGGTTGGTCTATGGCATTTGATGGTAGAATGGGGCATGAAGACAGGCAGGAGCCAGTGAAGAGCTGAAGGTGGCTGTAATCAGATACTGTGCAGAATGCAAAGAAAGGATGGTGGAACCCTGTGAGGCCACCAAACCTTGAAAGCAAGAGTTAAGTAAGGAGGGAAGTAAGAGTGGGGAAGAGGATACACAAAATATAGCTTCCTGGAAGCTCAGGTCAGCACCTTAAAAGGCCCTGACGAGTTAGCATTGGGGTGGGGGAAAAGCTGAGGGACTCAGCAGCAGGCTGCCACTGATACCCTGGGGAAGAGTGCTGGATCTCGATCCTGAGGGACTAATTCTGGGTTGTGGAGTGAAGGGGAGGGAAACGGCGGCTTGTGGGGACCACTGTTTACAGAATCTTGACAGGAAAGAGAAGGAGAAGGAAGGATGAGGTGGTAACTTGATGACGCGCGAGTGGGGGAGACTCCCTTTTACAAAAAGATTGGTAAGGATTTGAGTGTTTTTGTAGGTTGTTAATGCCGATGAAGCAAAGTAATGAGCTGATTAAAAGCCCAGGTGCTGGAGTCAGAAAGACGCGGGTGCTGATGCTGACTGTGCCACTCACCAATGGAAACATTTTGGCCCTAAGCCTTGGTTGCCTATATATCTTGGTCCTGTTATAACTGCTGTGTGGGACTCTCATGAAGGTAAAGTGAAATTATAGTTGCACAGTAGCAGGCACTGGTGTGTAAGTAGCTTTGGGTAAATGGTTGCTACTCTTCTTTTTATTCTTACTTGAGAGGGGACGGATTCTAGGCCACAGGCATATGGTAAGAGTGGCTCCAGGTAGAGCTGTGTGGAGGTGAGGTGAGTGGAAGGGAGTTGGGGTGAGTTTTTCAGTTGTTACTGAGTTAGGATGGGATTGAGGGTAAGGGGATGGGCAGGGTAGGATAAGAGAGTGTGACAAGGATGGTAAAGATGTGCCTTCACAGTGGGGCATCATAACTGAAGATAAGAAAAAGGCTGTAGAACAGCACGAAGGTCCTGGCCGAAGGTGAAATGTTAACACAGTGCCAGCTGCATGGCCATGTGGCTATGTCCAGTGGCAATTGGCAGCCTAGAGGGAGGAGTAGAGAACGTGGGAGGACCCATTTCATCCAAGGATGGATGCAGGTTGGCAAGGTGGGTGGGTCCTACAGGGGAACAGTTGGAGAGTGGGTGCTGGAGCATCGGGAAGTCCATTCCTCACTGAGGATCGTCACAGGGGCTCACCAGCCTGGAGAAAGCAGGTCAAGGGACAAGAAACTTTTAACAGGTTTAAAGATCAGGTCTAGTGGAAATAGATACATGTCCTGTGTAGGACAAGAGATTGTGTTCAGGGAGTTTTGTTTTGGGATTTCAGATATTAAAAGTGGTAAAATTCTAGGTGCTGACAGGATCTGGATGGGGACAGCTGTTGGAGGCCATAGAGCAAGATGGGCTGTGGGATGACTTTCCTGGCGGGGGTGTGACAAGGAGGGGTAGACCAGAAGGCCTGCTTCTCAGGGCTGGAGTGGATGCTTAAGGTCAGGTTTTGTATTTCTCAGGAGGTTTGGGGATGGTCTTACTTGGAGGAAGAGAGGTGTAGCGTGGACTTTGTTTTCAGAGGCCTCAGATAGCTTGAACAGTAAGTGGTGAAGGGCAGGGAGTAGGGTGGGCTGCAGAGTCATGGGCAGAGAGAGTGCTAGTTAAGATAGAAGCTCAAACTTGGGTTGCTGCCTGACGTTCTTTTTAAGGATTATCAAAAGCACAGGAATACATAATAACAAAGCCTTCCTGGATTATGGTCTGTTCTTTGCATGGCTGTCCCCTAACCCATGTAAGTGTCAAGCCTTGTGTGTACCAGGAGAGAATGGGCAAAAGGAGAAATGTTCCTTTCCTAGGAGCCCCGAGGTTGATGTATAGTTAAATTGCCCAGGCAACTTTCTAAGGTGATGTTCAACTCTAATATCCAAATCAGAGGAGCTGGAATAAGGTTAATGACGTTAGAAAGAAATGGAAATGCAGTGTAACTAGGGTGTGTTTTTAAAGTCAGTGTGCCTTTTCTACTTGAATTCATTCTTATTAACAGATGCATTGTATTCCACCATTGATGCCCCACTGTGAAGGCACATCTTTACCATCCTTGTCACCCAAAATCAAACCCTGTTGATGGCCATTGAGTTGTTTTTTGCTTTTCACCATTGCCAAATACACTGCGGTTAATGGCTTTAACCGCAACATTTTTGACAATGGTGAAAAAAAGTGTAATAAGTGTACAGGAATACACTTTCCAATACATTCCAATAAGTGTACAGGAATACACTTTCAGTACTATTTTGGGTTTGTCTAGAGGGTGGTTGTTTTTTTTCCTCCTTATTTGAGATGTGTTTCCTTAATGCTGTATTGGCGGCAGTGAACTTTGTTTGGAATCCAGTCTCTGTAGTCTGGAAATGTGATTTCTGGCAGTGTGCTCTGTTTTGACACAATCTTGTCATAACAACATGGGTTTCATCACAGTGGGGTCCCCCTTGTTCTCTCTGGATGTGCAGATGGCTCGTGTCCTTTGATGATGGTGCTGGGAAATGGGGAAAGGTTTTCCAGGGGAGAATATAAAAGTTAAAAGAGCTGCGGTGCCGGGCACCTTGGGTGTAACTTTGTTCCTCCCTGACTTCTCCCTCTAATGTTCTTGGAACCTTCCCTGTGTAGAACCTGAGCCAGGAAGATACTTGTGAGGTCCCACGTTCTTTCCCTCCCTGGAGGCAGGGGATAGAACACAGAAATCATTCCCAATATATCTCTGACTGGTAGAGGTTTCCTCCCAGCTCCCCAGGAGAGTTGACACAGTGCCCTTGCTCAGATCCCTGTCTGTAAACCAAATGTTTCAGCCACTGCTCTGCAGAGCTGCCCATTTCACAAACACCTCAAAGGAATGTTGATTTGAATGGAGATCACCCTCTTCTCCAGTTTTGGAGCCTGGGAAAAAAAGAGCTGCCTTTGGAAAAAGCTTGAGTTGGTTTTGTGGTTTTTTTCCTTGCAAGGCTTATTGACTACTGGACTAAGCTTGGAGGTTGTATTTCCCGTAGGAGGGCTCAGATTGGGAGAATGAGGCTCACTCTCTTGTGTGCATTTGTGGTCTTAACTGAATTACTTCCAAAGTGTATCTTTTCCCTCTTGCATTCTACAAGATGACCTACCAGCCAGGGCCCAGAGGGAGCCGGTGTTGGTTCCTGCCAGCAGCTGTGACTAGACAGTAGTTACCTTTTATTTAATGCCACCCACTCTGTTTCTCACCCTTGCCTTATGTGGGGCATAAGAGAAAGGAGCATTCTGTTTCAGTTTTGCAGTGCTATCCTAGGAGCTCATGATTTAGTACATGAGAATTAAGTGAAAAAGCTGCCAGTAAAGGGGGTTAAGTTGGAATTTGTGGGATAATCTAGTTTCTTTTCCTTGACTGTAGGGAAGGTACTTTAAGAATCAAGCTATCTTTCTTTATCTCCACCTACTGTAACACATACACATATCCCTCTTAGCTTTCTCTGACATGGAACATTGGGGAAGGGGAAGAGTGGGAGTCCTATATGGACTGTAGCTATGGACTTGTACATTGGTATTGGTTCTTAATATGGTTTTCATAAATGGGCTTTAGGAGGTTCATAAACCTGAAAATTTTTCTGCAAAATTGTAAGTATATATGTTTCTCAGGAGAGGGTCCATAGCTTTCATCAGATTCCCAGAGAGTTCTCTGATTCCTGAAAGAATAAGAACCTCTGCTTGGGATTTGAATCTTGGATGAGTAATAAGAAAAGCAATAGCTGACATTTGCTGGGCTCCTGCTACACACTAGGCATTAAGAGTTTTACATGCATTTTATTTCATTTGCGCCTCCAAACTCTGTAAGGAATGTGTTATGATTATCTTTCTTTTACTGATTAGGAAATGACGTCAGAGAAGTTAGCACAATTAACCTGGAATGATGCAGCTTGCTGGAGCTGGGACTTGAACAGAGATAATCTCATTCTAGAACTTGGGGGCTCTTAGCCATTCTTTAGTAGGACATGCATACCAAGCCAATGGTTCTAAGCAACTCGATGTATCTGGCTTTAAAGTTCCTTTGCCTTCTTCATTTCACTGCCTGAGTTCTAATACAGGGTTCTGTTGGCCCTGAATTTGTACTGTGCGTTACCCTTCGTGTTTCCATATTGGGATGGGTGAGAGGAGGAAGATGCTTTTTGGGAGTCAGATCTGTTTAATTTTGAGCAAGTGTCTTAGTTTTTTGTCTTAGTTGTCTTTAATGTTAAGTCCTAGAACTCAGAACCATGGCTCTCAACACAGGGTTACTGTGAGCATAAAGTAGGGTGATAATATATGTGAAAGAACTTTGGGAGCCATGAGCTCTGTGGGATTATGTGTTAGGATGGTGACATCTCTTGTGCTTTCCTGGGGAGAGTAGGCAGCCTCAGACTTCGGAAGGACAGCACCCACTTGGTCCAAAGGGTATGAGACCTAGGACTGTTTGTCTAAGCTGTCTGTGGTCAAAAGTACATTCTGGACTGAAGAGATGGTGATGTAACTGGGCTGTGTGTGTATTGAAAAATCCCTCTTTGCTCTTTCCTCATTTCAGGTTTGTCCTTTGAGTCAAGTTAAATATTTATTGAGCGTTTCTGAGTACAAAAGTAGTGTATTAGAGAGTTGGGAGGGATTACAGAAGTAAAGCCCTTGCCCTTATAGAGTGTGTGGTCTTGTTGAAGATCAAGAACAAAATGTGTGTATGTGAAGAGAGATGTATGGTAAGTTCAAGTGGAGCCAACACTTGGGTGCTGGCTGGAGGGTTTCAGGAGAGAGTTTGGGACCTCAGGGCTGGGAGAATGGGGCAGAGCAGCTCAGGTTGAGGAATTTGGGCAATATGGATGGGTTGATGGTGCAGAGCTGAAGATGGACACACTGAGCAGGCTGGGGGTTCTAACAACAAGATATGGGAGGATCAGGAGCCACCGAGAGACTGTCACCAGCATGACGAAGATTGGTCTTTTTGTATGATGTTCAGGATGGGTCAAAAAGGGAGCTAGATGCCAGATCAGGTCATGTATCATCTCTGAGCACTTTGTTTCTGCAGTTCAAATGAAAATTAAATGTGTTATTGACAGCAGTTCTTGAACACTCACTGGGCTGGAATGGGCAGATCACATACCTCGTTTTACCTGTTGGACTTGTCACGTGGGGTTTGTATCAGGATAGTGGGAAGGTCACATGTTATTTATCCATTTTTTTAGTTCCAAATATATAGCCATCTCTTGACCATATTGCACATTGAAGTGTTCAGTACACACTTATCTTTTCTTTGACATGTGTGGTTGGGGAAAGCCAGCTTCTGTTATAAGTCTAGTTTTAGGCAATAATTTCCATTTCCTCAAGCACTAGTCTTTTCACTTGAGTTACTGATATCTTCCTCCTTTCTTTTCTGGGGTGCCCTGTTGTAGGAGTGCTAATTATTAACATTTTAACTATAAGGTAGCAGGTGTGAGGAGGCTGTGTTATCCACAAGTGGAGTAATTAATTCTTAAATAGTAGAAAATAGGCCCTGTAAGTTAGAAAAACCTTTTTATATATTTGTAAATAGCAGCAACCATGTTGTTTCACTGAACTTTTTCTGCTTCTCCCGTCAGCATACCAGGAGGCGGATTGGGATCGCCCAGGTCCTGTGTGGTGTCTGTTTTGGGCTTAGGTTCTTAAGAGAGAGACTCCTTGGCTACAGCAGTGGGAATGGACAGAGAATAGAAAGTGTTCTTAGGTGTTGTACTTCAAAGGGAGCCTGGATCATGACCCGCAGAGAGGCAGGTGTCTTTATGCCTTCCAAAATTGACTTGAACCATTTCTAGGGGAAGCATGTCTGTTGGAAGTGAGGGGTGGGGTTGAGGACCTCCAGCTTTATACTTTCCACTCTCTTTATTGTTTAGATGTTTTCGCCATGACCTTTTATAATAATGAAAAAAATTAATTCAGTAAATACAGTTGGAAAACAATAGTACTAATTCAGTAAATACAGTTGGAAAACAATAGATTTGGAAGTCCTAGTTTGTTACTACAGTTCCACGAATACTTGCCAGCTTTATAAGTGATTTTTTCTGTTCTGGAGTTCAAGCAGAATGACATCCTTAACTCCAGGCTGCAGGTACTCTGTACGTGTGTCACCTCAGATGGCGAACCGGATTGTGGATTCTGCAAGGAGCATCCTCAACAAGTTCATACCTGATATCTATATTTACACAGATCACATGAAAGGAGTCAACTCTGGGAAGTAAGTATCTGTGTTTTTGAAGTCTGTTTCTGCAGCTTTTTCACATGCCTGTTCTAGTTGAAGTTAAAACTGCCAGCTCTGAGGTTGCGCAGCCAGAGGAAGAACAATTTCAGAATTAATTTCCTTCTGGCTTCTTGCTGTTGTCACCAACAGGCATTTCTTGAGTGCCTGTCACATGGAAAGCATCCCAGTGACTAGAGCTGGAAGCTGAGGGTCTCGTTCCTAGCCTTGGGGAATTAAAACCTTTATCTATTAACACACAATGCTTTAAGCTTTAAATTCCATCTTCACTCTGTTCCAACAAAAAAATTAAAGCGAACAGGTTCTTCCACCCTGAGTAAGTAACAGTATAGGGTTAAAATCTTTTGTTATCTAAGTGTAAGTCGACATCTCTCTTCATCAGTGGAAACGACATATTTACATCCCGAGAAAGTTGCTATTGCAGATTTGAATTTGGTTTAGTGAAAACCTTTGCTTTGCTAAAAAATAAAAATTTTAAAAATTAGAAAAACATCCTAAATATGGAAAATAAGTTCTTAAAAAATGATGCTCTATGTAATGAAGATGGCTGTTTTAGGCTTTGCTTGTGTATTTAGCAACTAGGAAGTTAGAGAAGCAATTAAAGCCACTTTCTTGAATTAGGAAAATGTTAAACTTACAGAAAAGATCAAAGAATAGTACAGTGAACACTGAGATATACTCCTGCTGCCTATAGTTAACAGTAAATATTTTGCCAAATTTGCTTTACTTGTTTGTGGGTTTTGTTTGTTTTTGTTTTTTACTGAATCATTTCAGTGTGAATGATGGCATAATTTCACTTCAAATCTGAGGCTTACAGGTTGTGTCTCTTAAAAATAAGAATATTAGAGTCTGGAGTTAACTGTTGTAGGTTAAGAAGTCAACTTCTTCTTAAGTGATACCACAGCTGATTCTTTTCCACAGCTGTTTCACCTGTGGTTTCTTTTAATTTCAGCAAAAAGAGGAAAAGAGAGTAAAGGAAGGGGGTGAGTGTTTTATACAATCTTTGACCTTTATAAGGCCCAATGGAAAGATGAAGGTGGTTTTAGAAATACAGTGGAGGCTCATAGTCCAAAGCAACAAAGCTGGTGGCATCAGATGCTGGGATTGGGAAAGGATTTGTGGGCAAAGCTGGCCTTTCTGGCTTGGAAAAGTCAATGATGTTCCTAAACCTTTGGTTTATATTCTAGTAACAACAGTATTTTCCTCATTTATACATTGAGGATGATGATGCCTATGTTTTGAGATTATTGTAAAAATCACATATATAAGCCGTTACTACCTTGCTTGCCACGTAGTAGGTCCTACAGAAATGGTAGCTCCTGATGCTGTTCTTTCCTTTACTCTCCCTTGTTGGCCACAGGTCTGGAATTATGTGTCAGCTATTTTCTGGAGAAAGGGGGTTTTCGAGGGATGGGGGAGGACAGATAGCAGCAGAAGCTGTCTAAGTGGCTTCATCTCGATAGTCCCTTCTCTGCTTTGCCTCTCGCTTTATCAGAAAGTGTCCTGGAATGAAGCAGAGCAGGCCTGACGGCCATCCTGCCACCAGCTTATAGTGTGGCTTTTTGTAATACCACTGACTCAGCTGACCCTAGAGTGTGGTCAAGTCCATACTTACTAATGGTGAGTAGAAACCTTACACGTAGATCAAGACACGGACATGATGTAGACTGTGGGTCATCAACTCCAAGCCCCATTTTAAAAATTACATGTAAAACCAATGTGGGATTTAAATTTGTGTTTGTTTGTTTTTTTTAATCTCCAGTTACAGATGACTAATAGTGCTCTTCCTTCTCTGTTATTAAAATAATAAAGTCATGGATGGGTATTTCTCTCTTCTGATTCAGTGAAGTATCCAGCAAGTTAGGCTTGTTCAGATGTAAGAGTTTCTGTTGTGGCCATGGCCTAGAACCTTAGCAGACAGCAGTTCTTGGTGGCCTGTGTCAGCGCTTTGGCCAGAATGCACATCAGTCCAGTGTGGTCCCATTTTAACTCTCACAGTAATTATTTTTTTTCTTAATTGGATCCTTTACCAAGGAAAGCTGTGGAGGCTGGCCTTTGCAAACTATACCAGTGCAGATCTCTCATGAGGTCACCTGATGACCAGCAGCTTGGTCAGCCTAACTTGAAATAGGCCTGATAACATGTATTTCCCACAAGTTGGGAAGAAAAGTTACAGTAATTTACGTAGAACCTAGTATATGTTCTTTGTCTTTTCTGAAGTTACTTAAATTGTGTTAAATGGAATAATCCTGATTAAATATAAAGTTTATTGTAATGACAAATGCACCTCAGAAAACTCACAGAGATGGAAGTTCTTGGGAAATGCAGGTAAATGGGGTAAAGCAGCAGTGGCAGCTTGTCTTCTTGCTTTCTCTCCCCTTCATCTTCTACTCTTCACTTTTGCCTGCCACTGCCTAGAGCCACTGCTGGACACCCTCTCACTCCTGCTGGTCAAGTGACTCAAAGGCAGCTTGGGATTATGCTAAAATTTTCTAGGTGTCCCATGATGATAGGTGGATAGCACAGTGTTAGATTGTTAAACATAACTCAGAGTGCCTCCCAGAACCTTTGACGAAATGGGTAACTCACTGCACCCCCTTCCCTTGGCAGGTGTTGTTAACCTTCACCTGCTTAGACAAGCAATTTTTTTTTTCCTTAAGAATATAAGGACTGACTAATATAGTTCTTCCATATGTAGTGAGCTCATATAGTGCATTTGAAGCATCATTAATTTTATACATAGTTTTACTGAAACAAGTATTTTGACTAGTCTCCTGCCGGACACATAGAAAGTATAGTGTGAACGTGTGTTGAGTTGTGTTAAAGGGGGCAGGTCTGTGTTGTGTTTGCATATGGATTGTACTGCTGGGAAGGCCGCCACACCTTTCCTGATGATGTGTCTGCTTAACAGGCATTGGGAAAGTAGAATTGAGCGGTCAAATCTTAAAATTTTGTGGAGAGGTGCTTATTTTTGGACTGATTTTCTTTTCTGGTCAGCTAGTAAACTAGTAGCAACTCTATGAGGTTAATGCAGCCAGAAAGAAGCCTTTGAACACAGTGCCGTCCAAAAAAAATGTTTGTCTTCTCTTTCTGTTTGCCGGTGAGTGGAAACCTCACTTGGTTAACCCTACTCAGTGTTTGTGCCTTTGTATCCGCAGGTCTCCAGGCTTTGGGTTGTCACTGGTTGCTGAGACCACCAGTGGCACCTTCCTCAGTGCCGAACTGGCCTCCAACCCCCAGGGCCAGGGAGCAGCAGTACTTCCAGAGGACCTTGGCAGGAACTGTGCCTGGCTGCTGCTGGAGGAAATCTATAGGGTATGTCCACAGCTTCCTCTGATAGAGGAGTGACCAGGAAGCAGTTTGTTTTCTCATTCTCATCCCTTGGCAGATTTCATCCTCTTCCAAGGGCTCAAGCCAAGGAGGTAACCTGTTCCTATGCATTAAGCAGTTCAGCATTAACTAGTTTAATTGATTAGTTGAACTAGTCAGTGGGTAGAGATCTAGTCCCACTGGATTGAGACATAGGGCAGGTAAGTTTTAACAGTGAGCCAAGGAAAGAACTGGAACAGTCATAAAGGAAAGGAAAGGTTAAAAAAATGAAGCAGGTAAGGTAAGGTGGTGGCTGACACACAGCCCTAACCAAAGAGAGTACCATCCCGGCACCCCCCAATTGCTGCCATGTAGGAAGGTAGACTCATTCTTTTTAGATCTTTCAAGAGAAGCTAGAAATCTGGATTTGTATGTGACAGCTGATTCATATATAAAACAATGGCAACAGGCTAGATTTTGCAGTGCATTGTAGAGCACAGAATCTCAGTTAACAGATGAGTATCAGAAAAAAAAGAATAAAAAAATTTTAAAAAGCACAGAATAACTAGGGAAGGCAGGCCTGCGGAACAGCATGGCAGAAGCTTTGGAAAACCTGAGAACATGGAACAGAAAAGGGGTGAACTGATGTTGAAGACAGACTCAACCGGTTGTCATTTTGCTTCTGCAACTCTGCTGGTGGGACACAGCTCAGACCAATCTGCCCTCTCAGTTGCCACAGTCTTTCTCTGTTGATCCTTTCACGCAGCGGGCACATATGCGCACACTTCTACCGTTTCCTCAAAATAGGTGAGGTGACATAAAGTAAGAGAGAAATTAGGAGGAAAGATGATGGCAGAAAGAGTAAGATACAGTTGTCTAAAAAATATATTCCCCAAGGTCCCCTATACTTGATTAGAAGAGGATCACAAATCTGGGTCCAAGATTTCTGTTAGTCTGCACTGTCTTTTGCCTTGGTCCCATATCAAGAAGGTGAAACCTTTTCTCTGACACGCAGAGTCCAGGAAAAGAGATCCTGGACTGTCAGAAAGGCTCTGAGGGGTGGTCATTTCTCTGCTCTGTGTGTTAGGTCCCAGATTCTTGAACTGGAGCATCGGCAGGAACTATACTCTAGGTGATTTGCTGTTGTATGGTGTATAATGTTTGTAAATCATCTTCTTCCCCTAAGGAGCTGAAGAGACTTCTGTCTTTGTATTTCTTCTCAGTTGTCAGGCATCTCTCTGGTCTCCAAGTGAGTTTTCCCGTTTAAGGTAGCAAAAATCACATCTGAGCCAAGTGAAATAAAATCAGTAAAACAGGTAAAGTGGCAATTTAGTTTTTCTTTTAATTCTTCCTTTTGCCACTGGTTCAGTTTATTAATCAGGGTGGTAGAGTAAAGCCTGAATACCCGTAGGTATTGATCCTCAGACCGGCCTCACGGTGGAAAACAGCTTATGTTTATAGTCTACTCCCTTGATCCAAGTCAGTGTTCTTGAAAACGTCTCGTTGATCCAAGATGGAACATGTGAGAATGAGCTGTTTCAGAATTAATTAAAATTTCCAGGTCCTAAATGGCTCTATTTAATGACCATCTAATTAAAAATGGAAGACAGTGGGCCTATGGTTTTATTTTCAGGAGAGCAGCTCCAGCCCCTCTACTCGGCATTCGCCTGGGAAATAGTGGAAGAAGGAGATGAAATCTTCCTGAAGGAGGAGGTATTATTTGACCAGTCTTGCGCAGTCACGATCTGGCCTCAGATTTTTTCGTGCTAAATCAGTTTAATTTTTTTATATAAAATTTAATAATTTTGTGAAAGATGGATAGTAACTAAAAGTTTGGGGTAGATGATCAAGAGGTTGCTCTGCCAGTTACTTAAGTTTGTGATCTACTTATTTGTAGCGGGGGGCGGGAAACAGTGCGTGTGATGTGTCTCCGTGGGTCCCTTGTTGTACAGGATTTCTTTTCCTGGTCCTGTAGTGTCTGGCGGTGGCTGGTCCTGTAGTGGCCCTCTCTCTAACTGTGGGGACACTTCCATCTCTTTCTAATAGACCTTAGGAGAATTAGAAGCATCACGTTATACAATAGTCCAGTGGGAGCCATGGGCATAGCTAGAGTGTGAGGTTTATATCCTTATAAATAGGTTATAAGCCTCAGGGTGAAAGCACAGCCTACTAGTCGACAAGAGGAAAAACATACAGTTTAAATTAGGTTCTTTAATATTTTTCTTTTTCTTCTTCTTTGCTTTTTTTTTTTTTTTTTTTGAGACAGAGTCTCACTCTGTTTCCCAGGCTGGAGTGCAGTGACTCAATCTTGGCTCACTGCAGCCTCTGCCTCCCAGGTTCAAGTGATCCTCCTGCCTTAGCCTCCCACGTAGCTGGAGGCATACGCCAGCATGCCTGGCTAATTTTGTATATTTAGTAGAGACAGGGTTTCTCCATGTTGGTCAGGCTGGTCTTAAACTCCTGACCTCAGGTGTTCCACCCGCCTCGGCCTCCCAAAGTGCTGGGATTACAGACGTGAGCCACCGTGCCTGGCAATTTTTTTTTTCTTTAGTTGAGATCTACTTTCAGTCTTCCATTGTGCCTGGACCAAGTTTCATTTTCTTTTAGTTATTCAGAAAACTTCCTTTGTGTGTCTATGATCTTTAATTATTAAAAGGATGGAAATACTTCGTGTTTTTCTGATTAATTTTCTGTAGAGTTGTGATGTGACATGGATTGAATGAGTGGTAAAAAATCCATACCTTTTGAAGGCGCTGTTTATCAAGTTTTAAGCCTCTGATCTAATCCCTCCTATTCCATTTATGCCTCGTCGGTTACCAAGCCTTCTTGATTCTGTCCCAGGCTTTCTGGAACTGCCTTTTTGTTCCTCTGCTCTAATCACTGCCTGCCTCCCTGCTCCACCCCACAACTGGATTATGGCTACTGGCTCTCTGCACTTCCAGCGGAGAAGTTCTTTCCAAATCCTAACATCCTTTTCAGTCTAAATCTTCCCCTAAAATCCTGATCTGATCTCTTCGCTCGTGTGCACAGAGACCTTCACTGGCTTCTCACTTCCCTGGAACAAAGTCAGAATTCTCGACCCATTTCAGAAAGCACTGCCTTAGTTGGGCTACCCACCTTTTCTATGCTGTATGTGCTTCTCCGCAGGCAGAAGTGGTGCTTTCCAGGCTGGTCGCCTGGCCGTTCCTTGCTGGCCCTGGCATTTTGTTTTTCCCCATCATTCTGTTCTTCCTTTCTCCCCAAACCCTGCTTATCCCTCCAGGGCTGTCTCAAGTAGTCCTGACTCCTAAAGCTCCCCCTCTCGTATCTGGAAGGTAATACCTCCCTACCCAGCCTGGCATAGGTAGGGTGATAGCTCCTACCACTTCCTCCATGATGTCCTGTACAGGGACCTTAGCATATCTCTTGCATTAAAATATTGGTCCAGTGAATGGTGAAATAACAACAGTGATAGGAAGCAGAGACTGAAGAGAACACTTTAATTTTAGGCTGTCTTATGAAAGGGAGCAAGATCTGTAAAATAGTTTCGTTGGTTGTCATATTTTCCATGGGTCAGGTTTTTCTTTTTGGGTAGAAAAGGAAAATGATCTGTCCTTGTCCTGGAATTTGCTATGTGATATAAATGTTGTTCCCTGTTCTTTATTAGGTAGTTTAGGGACGTGCAATAGATTTTCATAAAGGCTAGCAGTTAAGATCAGTCCTTATTTCCTTCACCATTATTAGGGCTACTAAATGATTTCTGACAGCCAGAGATGCACCTGAAAATGGATTTATTTCCTACCGTACATGCCTTAAAAAGGAGGCGGGGCAGTTGTACCCACATGAACAGCACTGCTGGCCACCTATCCTGTTCAGTCTAGCCTTGGATAGTAACGTGCCTTGGTCAGAGACGATTTCTAATTGTGACCTGTGCAAAATATGTAGAAATTCAAGGTCATCCTTCTTTCACTATGTACAATATGTTTTAAATAAAGTTATTCCTGAAAGAATGATCAGAACACGTTTGTATACTTACGTATGCATCTAGTGGAAGCAAAACAGCTAAAATGACTGAGAAAAAAACAAAATTAGAAAGGCAACCTAAGCAGTTGTAACTCAGGAGAAAGTGTTTGAAGAGAAGTCTGTTCTGCCTGTTAATTTGGGAGAAAGGGAAGGAAAAGGGGGTGGAAGGCATAATTTTATACGTAAGTAATAAGAATGAAGGGATCTGACCTTAATGATTCTTCAGTTTTAAGGAACTCAAGAGGAGATAAAGGAGAGAAGTTAATAGAGCATGGCAAGCAGTTTCCTGAATGTATTTAAATAAGTGTAAAAGGAAGGCCATGAAAAGGCCATTTCATGTCAGATAGACTGTGTTGTTCTGTGACAGATTAAATAAATATGAGCGTCATCCACTTAACCCTTGGAATTAACTCTACATCTTGTAGAACTGATTAAGCTTTTTTTTTTTTTGCATATACTCAATAAAGATGATGTCCTCCTGCTGCTGCTTTAATTACAAAGGGAAAGTTTCTTTCTTTTTTTTTTTTTACTAGATTCACTTAAGAAGATTTGAATCTGATAGTCTCATTCTGATAGTCTCAACTATTACAGTTGCTCTAATTGTTAGTTTAACCCTCTACAGTCAGTTGATGTAAGGATTACTCTTATAAGACCTGTATTCTGTTTTATTGTTGCTTGAACTTTGGATTTTGATATTATGAGTGTATGTTTCTGTATTTTTTTTTTTTCTCCTCTCTTTTGTTGGCTTTCCATTTTCTGGTTTGTACAATTATTAATTTGTGTTTACAGGGTGGATGTGTAGATTCAACCAACCAAAGCCTGGCACTACTACTCATGACCCTTGGACAGCAGGATGTTTCCAAAGTCCTGCTAGGCCCTCTGTCTCCCTACACGTAAGTTATTCTTTTTCAACCTCGTTATTCTGTCCAGTTTAATTTTCTCATTGCCCAAAATGACAAAGGTGTTGTGCTGCACAGAGCCTGCACTATGAACACCTGCTTGTATTTATCCTCAAATCAGCCAGCAGTTGTCACTCTTAACCTGGTGTTTATTTTTACATACAAGGATTTTTGCCTTCTTTCCTTCCTCAGTCCCATGTAACTAAAGTTGCATGATCTCTATTGGACAGTTACTTTGTTCGTGCTTTAGGTTTTGTTTCCAGGTTAGAGGAAACTCCTGGTTTGGTGTAGCTTGGATTTTATTACTAGTTTTTTTTTTAAATCATTCTTTTCCTTAGCTGTCTAACTTACTGTGGGAAAACAGGCTTTTTGTCTAAGATGATGGGGTATGAGCTCCCTGGAAAAGATGACAAAAGACAGAGTTTGTATTAATGCTACTGGACTAGTAGGGAATTGTAGAAGTGAGTTTGGACCATTGAATGTTAGCAGAAGTTGACTGCTGTGGTATGAAAGCAAGCACTCTTCAAAAAGAATAGGGTGTCAGAAGACTGGAATTATAAATGACACCGTGAAAGAAGCATTTCCTGTTGATAGTAAATGAGGTTGCGAAAAACAGCCTATTTGAGTACTGACATTTTGTGTGTGTGTGTGTTTTCACGTGCTTGCATACTTAGAAATCATCATATGGGCCATCTAAGGGTGGTGAGCTGGGTGGCGGGGAATATTCAGGTAGATATGAGACTGAACTGCCCTTTTTCGGTTATCATGGTACCGATGCTGTATATCTGAAAGGTACAGTACTGTGATAACTGAAGAATGGTGGTGCCATCACATTGAGAAAGGGGTGGGGACTGTGGTGGAGCTATGCAGCCTTGGGCTGTGGCTTTGGGGGCATGAAAACCAGGAGCTTGAAATAAATTCTTTTGGAGGCTTTTTTTTTTTTTTTTTGAATTGGTGGTAGGAGGGTTTTTTTGGAACAGAAAAATGGAAGAGAATACATTGTGTTAGCAGAGAGGGAAGACTGGTAAACAGGAAACTCGTGAGGACCACATTATCTCCTGATAGCTTGTGTAAAAGTATTTTGCAGGACAGGATACCTAAGATTGAGTAATCCTAAATGGCATGGTAACATCAGTAGTAAACATTGCTAAAATAGACTTGGTAGTTAAGTACTTGGAGAGGAGATGAGGGCTGCGAGAACGGCACCCTAGGTACAGAGACTCGCTTCCTGTAGAGAGCTCACTGGAGGCGGCTGCCAACTGTGTGACCACCATGGCCCCGCCAGCTTTGTAGCTGGGCTCATAGCTGCCGTTTCCCAGCCCTTGCTTCAGGCCTGGAGAAGTCCTGCTTGCACACACGGTATGGGGTGTGGGGTGTTGTCTTGAGTGTGTGTGGTCCTGGAGCATGGGGTTTGGCAGAACATTCTGTGAAAATGGAATATATATATATATATATATATTTTTTTTTTTTTTCTTGACACTTTTTTCTTTTGCTTTTGGAGATTTTTCAATTTGACCCCAGGACCTGTATAATCTTTTCAAGCTTTACAGAGATGCTCAAGATGTGACTGGACATTTTTTAAAGTTCCTGTGTCCTCTTCAACACATGTTCTCACCAAACATTAATTGTAGTGTCTTTTCTTCAGAAAACTTGCCTAAAACGACTTTCTCTCCTGGGAAGACAAAGTGTCCTGCTCTGAATGGAGCTTTAAAGGAGTAGCACAAATTGTAAGATGATGTATCTTGAGGCTGGGGCTTGGAGACATTCTGCTGCCTCCCAGAGCTTTGTGCAGAGGGGTCTGCCGGGGTGGGAAAGGGAAGCCTCCTTTCTTTTTGATAAACTAGCATAAGGACAGGTAAGGGAGTCTATTTTCAAGAAAGCTGGATCTGTTTAGTACTCTTTCTGCCCCTAATCACTGTGGACAGCTCCAGCAGCACAAAGAGATGAAGGGCAAAGGCAGGACACAGCAGGCAAAGCTAACATTGTATTTGTGAGCATAGTTGAGGATAAAAAAGGGATGAAATCCATGGTGAGGACCATCATAGTGGGGGAACAGTTTATTCTAGATGGATTCAAGAGCTTTGGAGACCAAACTAACACATTTATTTTTATGTGCAGTTAAAGTCATAGAAACCTGTTTTGTGAAACCTCAGATTTCTAAAGAAAACCAGAAGCAAGACCTTCCTTGGTTAAAAAAAAAAAAAAAGCATTTCTTCAAGCAGTTTGGACCTGTTTTCATTTGTATAAAATAGATTTTTAAATGTCTATTTAAAGAGCGTTGGGATTGCTGTCGGTGGTTTTCTGTGCTACTTGAGAAAGTAAGTCTGTATGTGTGAAACTTTTTTTTTTTTTGAGGCAGAGCTTTGCTCTGTTGCCCAGGCTGGAGTGCAGTGGCGTCTCCGCTCACTGCAAGCTCTGGCTCCTGGGTTCACACCATTCTCCTGCCTCAGCCTCCTGAGTAGCTGGGACTACAGGTGCCCGCCATCACGCCTGGCTAATTTTTTGTATTTTTAGTAGAAATGGAGTTTCACCGTGTTAGCCAGGATGGTCTCGATCTCCTGACCTCGTAACACACCCGCCTCGGCCTCTCAAAGTGCTGGGATTACAGGCGTGAGCCACTGCGTCTAGCCAATGTGAAACTCTTTTAGAAAGGCCCAAGAGATTTTTTTTTCAGTAGAATAAAATATTATTGGATAATCACTGGTATATGAAGATTCTATTTCTGTTAAATTTGAGTTTTAGGTGGCTTACAGTTAGTGACAGTAGTTGCACCCTCCATTCAACAAGCTTAATTTTACAGTTTAGGGAGGGAGGATTTATACTTTTGGATTAACAGCAAGAAAAATAGCAAAAATTAAGATGCATCTTAATTAGCACTTTCAGAAATTGTTTGTGGAATGAGACTGCAGTTACAGAGCTCTCTGCATTCTGCCAGTGCACAGGCCTTGGAGTCCAGCCTATTTGGACTTAAGGCTCTGCCACTTGCCACCAGGAGACCATGGAAATGGTGTTTAGCATCTTGGAGCCTTGGTGTCATTTGTAGATAAGGTGCATAGTCCTGAAGTCCTGGACTTGTGGAAATGGAATGAAGCTTAGATGAAGTCAGATGCTTATGCTTCTGGCAATGTGCCTGAGGAGCTGTCAGCGCTGGGTGCTGTGGTTTCTGCCTGGACACCCCCTCACCCTGCTGCAGTCCAGTCCCTTGGTCAGGTCACTTTTTTTTTTTTATTTTTTAAACTGCTCCTTGAGGAGCAGGACTACCCCATAGGCAGTGTGGCCACAGTAGCGCGGTCAGGTCACTTTGAACCCCAGGAGGACTGGTAAACTTGCTTTGGGTGATTTTAGGGTTTAAGTCATCTGTAAGTGGTCTGCCCAGCTACCTATAAATCTATATCCATTAATTTTAAATTATGAATTAAAAATTTTTAATTTCTAGTTATTATTTTTATGACTGACTTTCCCTAGTCACATTACTGAGCAAACTACACACATCTTATTGATCCTAAGAATTCTCTAAGGTAGATGTTTATTTAAAAAACACCATGTTTACTGTGTGCAAAATGTTGTTTTAAGTGCTCACACATATTAGCTTATTTGGTTTTCATCATAACTTTATAAGGGCAAAAAAGGCAAGTACTATCATATGCACCATCTTACAGGTGGTGGGATTGAGACACAGAGAGGTCAAGTTACATGCCAAGTTACATGCCCACAGAGAGGTCAAGTTACATGCCAAGTTACATCACACAGACAGTAAGTGGGATTCAGACCTGGACAGTCTCCTCCAGTCACTGCTTCCCTTACCCACTGTGCTTTTATGTAAGAGCTGGGATTCCATCCATATCACTGGACTCAAAGCACCTTGCCTGAGGCAGGATGCCATGCTACATCTTTTCAGCAAAGTCCTCGTTTCAAATTCTGCTGTAAAATGATCTCTTTCTATCTTTAGTTGGAAATCTGAAATAAACCATGACTTTTTTTTTTCTGACTTTAATTAATGACCTTTTTCCATGACTGTGGAAGTGCTAAGGAGCTAGAAGACACTGTCCTTGTTAAACACAAACTGACTGGGGCTTCCTGGCCCACTCAGTCTAAAGCACAGCTCTCTGAAGAACCATGAGGAAACCAATGGGGAAACTGGGAACTGCCAGCCAAACCTGCCACTCCTTGGGGTCAGTGGCCTCACTGCGTTCCGTGAGCTTGCACAGTACCACTGTGTCTTAGGTTTGTGAAGCATTTAAATACTGTAAAGCCCCGTCACCTGATGTTTAAGCCCCAGAACATATTTGGTGTATGGTAAAAGCAAGTGATAGGCTTCCTTCTCAGATAAAAAAGAGGTCAGTGACCTGCTCATGGTGAGATCCTGTCTGAACTGGGCCTGGGACCCCGTCTCCTGACAGTGCAGCTAGCCTGATTCTCTGTTTCCTGCTGCCCCAGTAACAATGTAGTAACTTCATTTTTGGAGCAGAGGTCAGCTGGTCTTTGGAAAAGCCACTATTTCACAGAACAAGCATCAGCAGTATATTTAAAAGCTGCCATGTAATGACTATAGGGACTCCATCCAGCAGATCCTTTTCTTATCTCCAGATTTTTCCCCTCAACTTGCAGAGCATCTCTTTACACCTGAGATGTAGGTACCCCCAGCTCTGTCCCATATCCAGTGGCATAGAAACCAGGTGGCTTGATGGAGCAGGACGCAGGACCCTCTGTTGTGGTTTGTGCCTGTGGGAGCTGCCAGAGAGAGGGCTTACCCCATGATTGCCCTCACCCCATTCTCTCACATGCGTCAAAAGAGGGGTCTGGTGGGAGGGGCTGTGTTTAAGGGTGGGATCTGGCAGCCTGTTAAATCCTGGTCACTTGGGATTCAATGGACCTATGACCATGAGCCTCATGGCCTTTCCTGTTGACCAGCAGTGGCAGTGGGAACAACTCACCTTTTGAAAATACTTAGGAAGGCCGGGCGCGGTGGCTCACACCTGTAATCCCAGCACTTT